CATCATCATCATCACCATCACCATCATCATCATCACCATCATCATCACAATCACCATCATTATTAGCATCATCATCATCATTATGTAATGTGACGTAGCTACAATGATTTCTTGTTTTATCTAAGCAAAACTGTCCAAAACCGCAACCGCCATAGTGACGGCCATCCGGAATTTTTAAAAGGAGGGTGACTGTTAACGGGTGTCTCGCGCCAATACCACAGGAAACCCATAAAAGGCGGGAAAATGGTAAAAAATGGCGTCTCAAATTAAATAAACTGAGTGAAAACTTATCTAGAAATCTGCTTTCAGTGATAAAAACATTTTTTATCTGAACTGCCTCTGTGGCTGGTTTCAGTGTTAGCCAATAAAAGTGAATGAAAAGATGGATGGATGGGTTGGTGGGTCTATGGATAATAAAGAGATTTGATATTTAAAATTGGAAATCATCATTTTAAAAGTAAAGATTAAAAAAGAAGTTTCTATCTATTTCAGATAAAACATCGGACCGGAAATGACACAACGTAGCTAATATATAAACACATTTAAAAAAATCTGTATGGTCATAAATTTAAGCTCTAAATCAATACGGAATGTAAAAATATAAACTAAACAAAGAAATAAAAATGTATAGAAACTAGTGATAATATTCTATGAAAGTTGTTGTATTTTTTCGTTGGTTTCTTCTCTCTCCTCTCCTCTCCATTAATGGCAACATTAATAATCACGGAAAAACATTACTTAATATTTGTAAAATGTTTGATTTACGCATTCTTAATGGAAGAACTTTAGGAGATTCTTTAGGAAAAATTACTTATCATGGTAGAAATGGTGTAAGTACTGTTGATTACATTATCGTAGATCAACATCTATTTCAAAATGTTAAGTATTTCATTGTTGATAAGCCAAATTTTATTTCCGATCATAGTCCAATTTGTGCTTGGTTTAATTTCGAAACTTCGATTCCATTCCAAGATAACAACATTACTGAAACTCTTCAAAAGTTGTCTCCTCAATATGTTTGGTCGAGTAACTCAATTGAGCCATTTCAACAAGCGATGTCTTCACCTTCTGTGAAATGTTTGATACAAAAGTTTTTGTTGACAGATTTTCCGTTGTCTAACAAAGAGTGTATTAATCAAGCGGTGGAGTGTGTTCAAAGTATTTTTAATAAGGCTGCTGCCTTATCTCTAAAACTGAAAATAATCAAAACTAAACGTAAAACAAAAATGATTTGTAACAAAAAATGGTTTGATTTTGATTGTAGAAAAGCTAGGAAAGAACTCCGCAAACTTTCAAAAAAAAAAACATGCTGATCCTCTAAATATCAATCTGAGAGAGCAATATCATCAGCATTTAAAATCCTTTAAAGAACTATTGAAATCAAAGAAAAAGGAATTTCACGAAACACAATTATCATCATTGGAAAAATAACTCTGATAATGACGAATTTTGGAAAATTTTAAATTCTGCGAATGAGGAGTATAAAGAAGAAAACATTCCTCCAATTACCGAGCAGCAATGGATAAATCATTTCACTTCACTCCATTCTAGGAAGCAAAATTCTTCATTACAGGATTCTTTAGTCGAGTCTTTACAACAWATGGAGCAAGAGAATGATCAGGCAATCAACCAAGATCTTAATTGTCCCATTCAAAATTCAGAAATCGAATCTGCTATTAAATTACTTAAAAACAACAAAGCTGCTGCATCTGATAAAATACGAAACGAAATGATTCGRCATAGCTTTCACGTTATGCTTCCGGTTTATAATAAACTTTTTAATTTGATTTTGCGATCTGGAATTTATCCAGATTCGTGGTGTGTTGGTTCTCTAACCCCCATTTTCAAAAGTGGCGATAGAACTGATACAAGTAATTATAGAGGAATTTGTGTTTCGAGTTGTTTGGGAAAATTCTTTTCCGT